AAACACAGACGGAGCCACCTGGGCTGGGTGGCCCAGCAACAACCACACCTCTCACCCCCCAGCTCTCCCTGGAGCTGCCCCACGCCGGTCCTGGAGCAGGCAAAATGGTTTCCGACACCCCTGGGAGAGCGGGCAGCGACCCAAGGACCCTGTAAAGCCTGGCAGAGAGTGCTCTGACCCAGCTGAGAAACGCCCGAGAAACGCAGCAGCGGACACCTTCCAGCCCCCCGGCGCTGTGCTAGGGGCCACGTCTGGGAGGGCGATGAGCTACAGGCGCTGCCCAGGGGCCTCGCAACCCCTGCGAGCCCCCGGCTTTCCCCAGCCAGCTGCAAACACCTCCGCCTCCCCTCCCCGATTTTGTCGCCGGTTTCCAGGACAGCAAGCCTCTTCTGTCTCTCCACAGGCAAAAGCCAGAAGCCATAAATGTCGCTGGCCCTTCAAGCTCCATTGGCTCAAGCTCCATTTGCCAAGGGGAACTCATGGAAAGATGATGTCAGTGCCGGATAAAAACACCAGAAGAGCAGCGGCAGCAGTGACCGCCTGGAAAAAAATGAAGGAGAAACGCTCTCCTGCCGTTCCCAAGGAAGAGAGGCTGGACGGCGTGTTTTACCCTCACCGCTGTGCTGACAGTGCTTCCCAAACGACACTGGATCCGCTCCTGAGTGGCCACCGGCCTCCGAAAACCATCAGGCTGGGTTCGCCCTGGCCACCAAGTCCCGGGTGGGAACCAACGGCACAAAAGCAGCTGATGTCGCAGGATAATGTTGTCGCTCTGTCTGCGGATACCACATTTTGGGGGCAAAAAACCCCACCTGGGCAAAATCTGCCCCTTCCTGCTGGTTGTAAGCCCACCAAGGGGCAGCTGAGCCCCCCAGCAAGGCGCTGGGGCTCGGTCAGCCTCCACACGTGGTTTTTGACAACGAACAGGGAGCGTGGAAGCCTGTGGAGAGTCCTGTGGCTGCGATCTGCACCCAACAACCTCCCCTGTAGCTCAGACCCTTGCATACGTCACAGGCCCGGGACCCTGGGCTGCTCCATGGGGCGGCTGGGGCTCAGATAAGGAAGGGGAGCAATGCCCACCCTGTGCTGCGGAGCAGGACAAAAGTGTTCGGCATCAACCTTTCCGTTTTGGAGCACGAAGGGGCTGTTCGGCGTCGCCACAGATTTACGAGCCCAAACGGAGGCCTCACCTTTTTGGCAGCGGGCAGGCAGCGTTGTCCTTGCCCGCCACG